GTGTGTGTGTGTGTGTGTGTGTGTGTACATGAGTGTGTGTGTATGTGTGCATGTGTTTAATGAAGCACCAACCCAATGTGCTCGGCGTGTCTGGAATTTTAAGACTTCTAATCTAATCTAATCTAATCTAATCTAATCTCTGATCTAATCTAATCTGATCTGATCTAATCTGATTTGATCTGATCTGATCAGCAGACCAGCGAGTGCTCCTTGATGCCGCGCAGAACGTACACTCTGGCCATCGTGTTGATCACCATCCTGCTACCGTGTCTTGCCGTCCTCCTTCTCTACTCCAGAATCTTCTGCTGGGCCATCAGGCAGGGTCGGCGGATGAGGAAAGCCAGAGAAATGCGAGACCTGCGCAGACAACAAGGTTCGGGGAAACAAGTCAGGCTCTTGTAACTTAACAAACGTATTTGTGTGTATGTGTGTTTGTTTGTTGGCTTGTTTGATTTTAGTGTAAGTATAGTAATTGTTTAACGGCACTTGCAACTCAAGAATGTCTATAAGTATTGAAGATTAAAGGTGTTACTAGAAGAAAAAGGAATGAGAGAGCAGAGAGAGAGAGCGAGAGAGCGAGAGAGCGAGAGAGAGAGAGAGAGAGAGAGAGAGAGAGAGAGAGAGATTAGAGAGAAACGGGGAAGGGGGAGGGGTGTGAGAAAAGGCAGAAAAATATAGCAGTTCGTTCAAAATCAATGTCAACCGACTCTAAACTCCTTCGTAAAGATCTGCCAACACTAAAAGCAAAAACCCACAAAAAATGTGTCACGATGCGGTGGATCAGGCGCTCGTCAAGTTTTGGGCATGTAGAGTTATTGGTATGATCTGAAAGCTTGTTTATTTGTCTTGCTTTGTTTTTAAAAAATTGTCCATTTATCTTGAATAGAAGTCCAGATATTTGCGAGTGAAGGAGGTGGGGGCTACCTGGTGAGAAAATTGCCGCCAAAGATTAGTTATAGCCTTAGCTTGAGAGTCTGTGGGAACCAAAAATTTTCATTTTTCATGACTTAAATCAATGAAAATCCACACTGGAATGTGTTCTTCTTTAATTGCCGTGAAAGGTGTTGAGCTAAAAATTAAAGAATTCGATACAATTTCTCAAACCTGCGGAAATAATAATTATGCCCGTTTCCTCACTTTGATTATTTTGACGAGTACCTGATTTCGCCACGCCGTCTCTTAAATTTAAAATGTTCAATTCAGCGGAGAGTGACCTCAAAAACCAGCTGTACGATGAGGCGGGCGTGGCAGACTGGCGTAAGGTGTCTCACATCAGCGAAGAGAATGCTCCGACTGTCGGGGTGACCAACTCGCTGGACAGAATCGGCTCCTCTGTGGACGAGGAGAGGCGGACGCCCAGATTCAGCAACTTCACCACTGAGCATCTAAGCACGGTCGTTGGTGGGTGTTTGTAGGTGGTGTTGTTGGTGGGGGTGTAGCGGTTCTGTGTTGTTGTCATGTTGTGTTAGGGTATTTGTTTGTTTGTTTTGTGTGTGTGGGGAGGGGGGTATGTGGGTGGTGTACGCTTGTGGAAGCCGGCAAAGAGTGAGTACATGG